AAAGGACGGGTGGATACTCGAAACCACCAACCTTCACAGCTGCCCAACTCTGTCTGCGGATGAATTACTGCCCTGGTTGTGTACTATGTACTGTAACTGAGTCCTAATTTTTGCTAAAACTTTCACTCACTTGTTTGTTCATGAACCGGACATGGCGTATCACTCAACCAACTGGCCCACAGTTAGACGAATTACCACCGTGCTAGTAGTTGTGCTGAATAACGTTTGAAATGAATTGGTTCCGATTTACAGACCGATTTGAAAACATAGTTACCCTGGTACAAAAACTTTCCCCATCATCAGATAGAATAAGGTTGACCCCCGATCTATTACTGGGCAAACAACAATCTGAGATCATATTTTTCAGGTTTCGCAATATAACTGGTCTGCTTGTGAGGGCAGGTTATGTTGTTATAGAAACTGGTGTGGAGCAGTGCGAAGTCGACTGTAAACCTCTGAATTCATCAATTTGAAAATGCCATACAGCTGCATTTTACAATGAATTCGGAGCAACCAGTAGTTCTAACAAAAAACAGGGTCGGCCAGGTGGAGCTAATGAGGCAGAATCGCCTGGCAATGTACTCTAGTTACTGAAGCATGTGGTAAACGAATAGTTAGCTGGCTACACGAAATGACACCGATATCCGTTAAATATTGAACTGTCGGAGACGGCGCACCCTGTAGTTATTCAGGACCACCAAACGAATATTTTCCAAGCCGTAAGCTGTGATGCTCTCTCAACCTGTAATTCCGCAGAATTCATGTGTACATGTTAGATGGAGTGGTATTAGTAGCTACAAATGATTTCCTTCAGGCACCCCTGATGCCACTAGACTACTCAAAATTGACTAAAATACTGTTTTTGGGAATACTACCGGACAAATAGAAGAAAGGATTTGACCGCACGTTTCGCGCAGTAGAATTCCGACCGGAAGTTTCTCCGTCGGTGTAAAAAGTCATGCTGTCTGGTGAATTGTAACAACGGTCAATGAACTTTCATACCATCAGAAATGAGTGACTACATTTCGACTGACTGAAAGCCTTGTGCGGGAATAATTTTCGAGTCCACTTATGAAGAAAATCTGTATTGGAGGGACCACGCAGGAAGTTGTTTGTTGCTTTTGTCTGTTGTTGGAAGGCAACCATAGATAGCATTCGCCCGTTCTTCGGTTTAGGAATGTATGCAAATGAAGAAGGTGATTCAGGACAAAGAAGTGAACTGCGTTGCTTGACTTGTGATTCAGGATTTAAAGGGAATTCAAGACGTAAAGCCCAGTGAGATAGCCTTGGCAGTTGTTATTTCGTTATAGTCACTAAATCAGTGGCAAGTTACCATGGCTCCTATAAAACAACTGTAGCCTTAGCTCTGCTATTTGGCCATAAACTGCCACCACTATCGAATGCTTTAACTCGCTACAGCAACCTTGGTATCTTGAGTACGAGCTTCTACCAGGCCAATATTTACCCATCAGTTGGCGTCCGGATTCCCAAGTTTTGATGCAGTTTGTTATTTCATGCCAGGAAAGGAGGCTACCAGCACCTGCGAGTTCAGATGTCTGATCGCAGATCTGTCGACTCGGTAAATTGACCATCCGCTTGCATGCACCTCGCAACTATTTGTAAAAAGAATGGAGACAGCACAGAATCTTGGCAACTTCGCGTTTGACCATAGATAGTGGTGCTCCACGCTTTACGCTACGGCATCTGTTATGCGTCCGTCGCTTCACCGTTGGACAGAAATGGCAGAGTTGTCAGACTGTTGTTCCTCGACTAAACTATTGCTTTCAGATGCTGTGATCTAGGTTATTAACGCAAACTCTTTCCTTACAATGAAATCACTGGATGGATAAAACGCACCTCACACAATGGGAATAACTCTGCCCAGCCTCTAACTAGCTCACGTTTCCTCTGATGAGTTATTCTGTCCCCTCCCCTGTTTTTCATGTTGTTCAAGCATCCGTCGTTGATCCCGCGCTGTTGAAAATAATAGCTATTGTGTGATCCGATTTCCAGGGCTTGCACTAGCCCCCCTTCTACATTCTCTTAACCCGGACATACAGCTGCTGGTAGGTTCCTTCTGCTGTCCTTTGTAATACTCACCATCAGTCGCCGCACGGCAATGTGCAGAGCATTATTGCTAAATGCTAACCTAATACTAACTCTCATTCAACCCACATCCCTCCTTGGTTCAAACCGCTTCCGTTTTATTCCTTAAGGTTGACCAACATGTCTGCTCCGCGTCATCTTGTTCCAAGGTTTGCAATCACATGCGTTCATCCAGCTTTTCCTCATCTCGGAAGAAGACTGACGACTGTCCGACCCACACACACCGTTTAGCAAGTTATCCAAGTGCAACGCCCAAATTAAGCATCGTTCGCTGAATTAATTATTTCTTAATATTTTATAGTCTGTGCCAGCTTTGTTCAGAAGGTTCTCGTGGATACTAATGATCCTCTGAAAGCATATCCATCTTGGTCCATTTCATCATACACTATTCACTTCTGGCCAATTTCTCAGCGAACACCTACTCACCCTAACTCTGGCATACTACATCTTGCGTACCTGCTCGGCGATATTCGGCCAACAAGTAGATTCGTCATAAGATCCAACCTATCTAGCTGTGAATTTTACTCAATACACGTAGCAACCAGCGTGGGTCATTGAACGACAATTCAGCCAGTCTGAACCGGTTATCAACAAAGTACATCCCTGGTTTCCCGAAAAAAGGTCGATAAGTCAGTTGTGTGATGGGTACACTTTACTCGAACATAACTTACATTCCTTTACACCTTTCTTCACTCCACTTATACGGCTTTGATTAGGCGCCATGTCTGAATTTTGCCATGAAACCATTGCGTCCATTCTAGGTTCGATAAGGATTACAGCAGACTGATCAGTGTAAACATTAATCACGACAGCGCTACTAACAGGTTAAAGTAGATGTAATTTGGTCACACGAAGACGGCAGTATCCTCCAAGCGGTCGTTCATTCACGTATAAACCTTTAACAGCTTGTTGGTGGAACGCCGAATGACCGGTTCCAGTTCTTGAGGCTAAGTCACAAGCGCAGCCTTAGCGAGTGATGATCAGGTTGATAATTTCCTGCACGCTCCTCCAGCCCTAAACTTCCTTGGTCGCCATTTACTCAATACGTCTCACTGATTAATACTAGTGAATGTATGTTGATCCGGTACCAGGGTGTGGACAACACAGTATCATCCGTCGTGCATTATCCAAACTTCATGACAATCCGGCCATCAATCGCGTGCGACCCGACCATTTTTCAGAACGATGCCCGGGTTTCGGTTGTCTCAGGAGAAGTTAAGTGCCTTAGGAACTCCCAGTTCAATCCGTACATTACTTCTCTCCCTCGGGATGAGATGCCACTATTCTACCCTGAGAAATGTTCCAATTTTACCACTTTACGCAACAATGTCCTTCGTCATAAATACTAAATTTTACTGTTTGCCTTTGGCGAGCATGCTGAGAGAATGTCTCATAAAGTTAGTAATATGTAATCGCATATCCAACGATATCCAAAAGGTCATTACTTTTGAACGAAAAACCTTCGTTCATTCTTGGGTGGCAAATATCTGCTGACCGAACCGACTTGGCAGGATTACACAGGAGCAAACACTTTAGAACAGAAAATACTGGGAATTCAAGAGAACGCACAGAATTGTCACAGAGAATGGTTAAAATCTCAGCATATCCCGCGGCTAGGTTGCGCGCATTCTGATCGCGGAAACTTCATAATGAAAGTAACGGTTGGATAAATAAAGATTCCTTTCTTGGGGAACTGTTAATTCTTCAAAGGACGAGGCCAAGTCGAATTCTTCAAATGCGCTTCGGGGAACCTTTTATCTCCTCTTAAAGACAGCTACTCCATGGCTATCAATATGGCAATTTATCTTCACGAATCTGTTTTTCTTCGTAAAGCAACCCACCGTACGAAGGCCTAAATAATGCTAGAACATTTTGCAAAAAAAACGACTGAAACGGTTTTAAGGATGGGTGTAAAGAATCCTTATTCATAAAATCACATCCAGTTAGACTGCGTGTTCAGGGAAACAGCTCTGGCACAAAAGGGTGAAGATGCAGTCGATCGGTCCACTACTCGAATTAGCTTATCATACTATTTGTTTCTGAGATGCGATTCTTCGGAGGCATCCTACATTCTGTGGGAATGAAAATTGGTGTCTACAGTTAAATCATTCGCTTCCGTTTACTTTCACGGGACATTGAATGTCTTTGGGTTGCTCCTACGAGCAACTAATTCCTGCGATAATCGTTCAACTGTTTTTTGATGAATCAAATGCACAATCATTTCACCTTACGGAAGTGGAGAGGATAGCCGGATTTAATCCTACAGAGTATGCACTATCTGCGCCGAAAGCTCGAGAAACACAGTTTCATCTTTATTAGGAGCAAGCAGCAGCGCACCTTTCACGAACCCCGGTAAGAAACAAATATCGCCTGGTCGATAGGCATTTTGACTAGGTAACAAGCATTTAATTATGATTAGTGTGATCCATGTTGAAATCACGGATGCAATCATGTAGCCCGATGTTTATTGTCCCTCAAAAGAGCGCCTATCTGACCTGTTGAAATTTTTCTTTTCAGAGTCCAACTCCAGCTTCAGACTTATTTAATTCATACTACTACTTTTATGATCCGAAAATGACGCTTGCGCTCTATATCGATCCACCCGTACCTGAAAGACGTGAAAAGCTGGTTCACTGCAGGGGTCGAGCGCTCACAGACATCGACTGCCTCTATCAGGCAGAGGTGCGGTGAATCGATGGTTACTTTAAACAAACAGGCGTGGCGTGGTGGAGATCCCGTTCGGTCAGTTGCTCAAGTGTATCCCAAGACGTACCTTTTAGTTTATACTGCACATTTTTAAACCTCTGCATCCAATTTCGGATATATGCTTTAGATTCTTCTGTCAAAGCGGTGAGATGTTACCAACCAATACTGTTGTATTACCTACCGCAATGCAGAAACAAACCATGAAAACAAATAAAAATAAGGTACTCTCGGACGGTATGAAGAATGAAAGACAAACAAGGTAGAGTCACAAGATATAGTACATATGTGTACATTGCATACACAGCAGCGAGTTCCGATCGTCCGGATGTTATCTGATGACAATGTGTAGAAGACACCCTTCGGTAACACGTCCTTCGCAGGCGTACTCGTTCAAAGTGCGACTAAGCTCCAGGAATCGCATCTCTGCTGGCAAATTCGGCATAATCTCATCTTCGATGATCATCAGTCCAAGTGACTTGAGAGATGAAATAAAAAATTGCATTGAAGCTCTGTACGGTGAAGGATAAAGGTCAAATTCTTACATGTTAACCAACATCCTGTAAGTCAAATCTGTTTGAACATGGCTGAATAATCGAGAGATCATGAATCTCAGGCTCAACATACTACAGTACTATTTTGGGTCTTGCGATGGAGCAATGACTTATCCACTCAGACAGTTTAAACCAAGCTCTGAAGCCTTAGTAGGTCATAATACTATCTTCACTCTGAACCACCCTTTCATAAAGCCTTAAGTCGGTCTGTCCTAATACGGGAAGACTGCGAGAATTCTAACGAAAATAGGGCACACCTGCAGGATTACCGTATAGGCTAACACCAGCTTACCTGACCAGGGGAACTTTTTATACCAAAGTATTCTTGTCCATAGTCCAGCAGTTTTCCAAGTGGCCATTTCTGAAGAAAAAACACCCAGATTGGAATTCGTGGGGTACGTACACTAATCACGAAGTGGCCCAAATCATCTACCCCATTCAGCTACTCACTTTTCCGAAATACAGAGAAATCGGAGAATCTACAGTGGAACAGCTTAGACCAGTGGCAGGAGCAAGCCGAAGAATAAAACGGTTATCACTTGGCAGAGATGATGCGCCCCGACCGGCCGGTTTTGCTGACATTTTGGCCTTCATGAACGTCAATTTGGCAGCTGTCACCCGGGCTCGATCATTTTTCAGCTTGGCACTAGATGGTGGCTCCGCAGTTTTGTACAATGGACGGGAGACAGCTACAACGAAGAATGACATTAATGGGGCAAACCGTATGTGACCAAAGTTATGATGCTCGGACTATCCTGCTTGATCACGGTCAAAACAATTCCAGTCGAAAATGGGTTTCAACAACAGATGTACAACTTAGCAAGACAAAGACCCGCAGCCTATTTCAGGGTACCAACTGTAGACAGATCTGGGGGCTTTCAAACATAGCCCATAATGTTATTTTTGGAACAACTCGGACCACAAAATGCCAAAGTATTTCAAATACTAAGCTATCTAAGATGTAGCCAAATCATGCTAATAAAAAATGCTGCCAACAGGATATCGTCGAACATAGGCCAGGTGATTGCCTAGGTTGACAGGCAAAGTATCAAGTGAAGCTTACATCCAAGTGGAGCAAATATATAGTGACTGTGAAATGACAGTAGGCATGAAAATGCATACCTTCCAAGGGAGCACGATCTAGCTTGGAAGACGCCTCTAGTCCAGCCTGTCTATCAGCTCTGGCTTGATCGGTGGCGGTCAACAACTTCGAGCAACCATGGACTTCTTTTTGTTTGTGCCTAAGGGGGACGACAGTGGAGGGAAAACCGAGCAGAAAATAACATGGGAGGACAGGCGCAGTATAAATTCGCGGGGAGTAAACAGAGATAAAGGGATCACCAATCGGGCCTATCTCAAAAGCCGGGGTCCAGAGTATTAGGGCGCGAGCTTGCTGACCAAAAGGTCCGCGGTCCGAAGTCAACTACTGCATTTCGACTACTCCTGTCTAGGCTTGGACAACATAGAAGTATCTCAGCCCCCATGCATCCTTCACACAGCATGGCAGCTGGGGACTCGAATGATTTGTTTATTTATTATACCGAAAGCTGGGAAGGTTGGTGAGACAGCCTAACCCACGTCAGAAACGCAGCAAAAGTGCCGCCCGTCGTTCAGATATTTCAGTCGTACGTGAATTGCCTGAAATGGCAATTGATACGGTTAAACAGGAAATATTTCCGAACGAAAACAGAAAGAAAGACTGTTTAGCGAGTATGTTTTGGATGAGTAGTATGAGGCTTCTAGTGACAGTGCTCCAGTTCAACCCTCTCCGTACTGGAATTAGGCACTTACTTAACACAGAACATTTTGCCGCAGGCCTCACAGATGAATGGAACCAGTTCTCGCTGGGAACACGATTCTATTTCACAGTGAACAACTGCATTTGATCCATCGTCTTTTGGAAGAAGGTCAGACATTGCGTCCTGGTCACTGAGACATGAATGCGCGAGCATAGAGCTGTGGAGTTTGCTGAGTATGGGAGAACGTATGAAGAAAAGACAATATAAATGCCGAGGGGCCAAGGGCTGAGTGCAGCCAACTCGATCAACAAACTTTGTGCATTGTAATCGTCGGAGGAAAAAAATTGCAACATCAGTAATATTGACAACAATAATAGCACTGAATGACAGTATTTCATTAGCGATTCTTCGTAACCATGAAGTGACGCTATCAGCAGTCATTCGCACCACGAAAAGTATGAGTACATTGCACTATCGGAGAGTTCACCTCACTCCACCTGTTATTTATCAAAACAAAGATGAAAAGAATATCAAACAAGTGACTGAAAGAAAGATGCCGCCGTAGTTACAGCAGGAAAAGCGGTCTGTTGGAAAAAGAAACGAATGTTATGACCTGAGTTCGGAAGATGGGTGCGTCCCATCAAAACATTGCACTGAGGCGATCTGTTGGTTGATAGTCAACTGCCACTGGTTTCAATCCCTGAAACTCATGTTTCTGGCTGCAACTCTGCGATCTGGGTTTGCATTTAACCCTTTGCTCAACCTAAGCCTCAAAAACAATATGCCAGTATTCACCCAAAATATGACTGTGTATTCCTTCTCCTGTTGTTTTCTAACGGAATATGTTGGGGGGTACGAAACGGCAACCAGCTAAGAGAATACATGAGGACCGCTCTTACCGCAACATTACTGGATTCAGTGGTTCAGCTAAAAGCCCGGTCGCGTCACACCTAATCGACACTGGCCACCAGATGAATCCGGACGGGTATTTTCACTTCACCTACCGAGTACCTGACAGACTGTCAGTATGGACCCAACGGCGCTGCTTAACTACAGCCGAGGCAGTCGAAGTAGGATTGCGAAATCCGGTAATATGCTATCGGAAACGATTCGTACGTCGCTGAATCAGTTCTGCCAATGTGACACGAATCACATGACCCAGTCACTCAACGGCCCTCAAGACCACCAGTGAAATGCGACTTGGTCTTCGTTGACAATCAGACGTCTGTTTTCTAATTTAGTAACCAACCCTAGCCATTCATTTCATTATTCACACCTATTATAACCATCAGATATGTACTAACTTGACGTAGAGATTCAGAAACCATTAAAGTAAGAGATCTTCACAAGTGAAAAACGACGTGAACATTAGTAGTTCCACGAGGATCAATAAGGAAGATGCAGAGACATCGACTACGCAACCCTAATACCAGCGGCCAATCGGCAAGAGACAAGGAAGCCGATCCTAATAATCACTATCTTACGCACCTGAATCGGGGCAAAAGGCTACATATGGTTCAGCTCCTCGGAAACCGAAGAGGCTTGATCGAAATAAGTAGCAACTCTGAGGTGATTTGAATCAGGTTAATGAGTTGAGGGGAATTTGACCGAGAACGGCGCAAAACACGGCCAGTTATAAAGTTAAAAACCCAGGAGTTTAACACATCAGTTTACACACCCACATGTATAATTAATATTGAGTGAGTATCTGAAAGTGCATAGCTGCCCAAGTAAAGCAGTTTATTGAAATTATTATTAGGATGAATCGATGGATGGCAAAGGATAAAACTCACCAAAAAACCGACTTGCAACGATCACATTGAATAGGTAAGAAATCTGAAAGCAATGAGTGGGACAGAGGAAATTCACAATAAAATTTACAAGAATGAGCTGAAGAACGTCGAGACAAATCACTAGCATCACATACAGCCCCTATAATGTCTCGGTGTGTATAATATAAAAAAACTGCACATAAAATGTAGGATGATTTTCATCTTGATCCTGGAGAGTGATGTCAAGAAGTCAACAATTGTCGCTATATAAGGTCTCTTAGGACAGGGGTCGCTCTCCAGTATAAGTTACATAAGGCCTGAGAATTGTCGGAAGTCATGAGAAAAGAGTGAAGACAACATAGGTGTCAGGACGCACCCAGACGTGCAAAAAGCACATGCACAGAGAGTGACGCATCCCCAAGGTCACCGTCGGTACGACACGTCCAGAAAGCAGGTGCGCTGGCGGAGCTCACCAAACACGGCTTAGCAACATACGACCAGCGTAGTGGGCCTGAGATTGTTCACGACCGGAACATCGCCATTGGCTGTACGGAGCGAACAAGCGAACGACATATTTGGCCACTTAGTCATCCTATAAATTACGCAGATGCTCTGTATGTTTTGTCCTGACAATACAACCGTGTCCCGAGTTCTCTGTCTTCTCCCTATCGCGTAGTCTGGCAGGCTCAGTGCAAGCGTAACCCAATAGACGGCCACCCACGATACAACAATGAGCAACCCACAGACATACTCCCAAGAGGTGTGCCCACCATGTGAGAAAATCGTTCAGCTGTAACACACTTCCGGTGACTAGCTGCCACACCAGCCGAAGGAAGCACAAGGGCTGGGATACTGCCAAGTTGCCCAAGCCTAGACAAGGGAAGTCGAGATGCAGGGGTTGGGTTCGAATCACGGACCTTCCAGTCAGTAAATTCACGCTCCAACCATTCCAGCCATCTCACCCTCGAGCCGCCATATAGCCTCTGCTAAAGATACCCATTCCACTATTTTGTTTTGGCAGTGCGTCTACCCGAGAAAAAAAGAAACGGCATGTTCCTGTTACAGCTGAGTCGACAGTCCATTGGTTGTCAGCTTCGGCAACTCGACCAAACCTTAATTATAAATAGACAACAGAGAGTAGCTGAAGGCAGCCTCGTTCGATGGGGTGGAAAAGATCAAATATGGGTTCAACTGTCGACAAAAGGATCCTTTTCACAGCTGCGCACATGCTCTAAGTATAAATAGACAACAGACAGTAGGTGAAGGCAGCCTCGTTCGATGGAGTGGAAAAGATCAACTATGGGTCCAACTGTCGACACAAGGATCCTTTTCACAGCTGCGCACATGCTACTGCAGGTCGCAATTGGTTGTACGGAGGTTAAGTGTGCTCCTCAAACAAAAGCCGGGTGGCGTTGGGGACACAGCACGAAACGAAATTCCGAGAAAAGTCGCGACTCTTATCGGCCAATTTGTGTGCTCTTGAGTCCTCATAGGTGACTCTCTTCGGGTATCCCAGTGGGTGGGATAATCGACAAACAGATGTGGAGACTCCGTCCTAGAAAACATCTTTGTGTCAACTGCTGGAGCATAGAAACCCGAAAGCATACTGAGGACGGGCCATTAGCGAGCACGACCTTCCATTTGTTGGGAGCCTATACACCCAGATAGGATTCCCGCAGAAAGTACCCGGTAGATATAGTTCCTTCTGATTTTAACACGGTAGTCCATGCGAGAGTTACGGTGAAGTTTGCACCCAAAAATCGCGCCCGAATTTTCAGCTATTCGATTCGGGGACTGGAAAGTTCGAAAGTCCAGAGCACCACTGAAAAACCTCTGGTTAGCTGTTAGAAAATGCCGACATATGACGTGCTAACAGCCCTGGAGAATGAAATACACGCACTGGACTGTGCGGCATCTTAACGCACCCATTCCATGAAGAGCTACGGCTAAGAGAATGATCACAGGCTCGTTCACTTTGCTGGTTTCAATCACTTGTGCAACGTTAACACGAACTTCCAACATCCAGTGAAGTACCCGTTAACTTGGTGTTTAAGCGACGCCCATACGACTCACAACAATGACTACCGTTAATGCAGGCAAGAAGTAAATCAAGTGATGAAATCTCACTTTCGCACGAAAGAGTTTAAGCTCCACTAGACAAGTTATCAGGAAACCCACCGTATGAAAAATTGAAACACCACCCTTCTCAGGCTGTGTTGTTGATGGTGCCTGGATAAGCTATAATCTCTATCTGACACTACCCTGGACAATTCGACGCGCATCCTGGCGTGACGATATAAGTATATAGTCACTTAATGTTGCCAGCGATGCTGCTTTGAGCTAAACGAGAAGTACGCCATGCTGATAGAAAGACTAGATTAAGAACACGTCAGGAATCTATCAAATGAGACTCAGGAAAAACGAAGAATGCACTCAACTATCTTATACTTCGACTTCAAGCAACAAAAACGTTCGACCACAATCGCGGCTGGACCGAGGATGCGCTGTCCCCTACACTATTCAAGTTCTCGGCTGAATAAAGCATGAACTAAGTTATGAACGAACACTTAAGTTCATATCGGACAAAAACACGATGGTCACTAACCGTGAATTCGCGAACATTGCTGTCTTTTCTCCGGATCGTCAGTCAATAGGAAACACTGATATGCTTTTGCTGTCGGCCTAGAGATAAATACTACGAAAATAAAAATCCTTTCTCAATTTGCACTTTTCTTTGACGGGCTACTTACGATATACAAAACGACACAGTAGTATATTTTAGTATCCAAGCACTTTGGGTCAATTATTCTTTCGAAGTCAGGCTAAAGATAAAGTCATGAACATCTTAAATGCTCCCCATAAAACATTCCTACAGCGGCAGTGCGCACCGTCGCAAGAAAGTAGTTAGTATGAAGGATCTACCAATTTACCGTGCAGCCCGTTTTGCTTTGCGCCAGCAGTACTAAGCCGGTACGTGTTTGGGATATTTGCGGGGTTTCTATTCACTATCTTCATGGAACAGTCTGACCACGTCTTCAAGGTGTATCAAATGGTGAGGCTTGCCATCGATTATCTGGCACTGCTCGACTTGAGCAGCTAATGCTACAATGCGGACTCCGGATGCATTCTCTACCGGCAATCCAAGGGCAGTCAGAACGGTTACCGCTTCGGAACCTATCAAAGACCAACTCTGTTATCGACAGATAAACACTCCAATACTGTATGCCTGAATCTGGAAATTGTCAACAGCCCAAGCCACTGGAGCCAACAGTAGACCGACGTACCACCGACTACTGTGCTTTGGCAAATACGATTCGTTACATACTATAAGCCGGTTCATGGTTTCCTTGTAATGCGTCCTCGAGCTGAGGACTCTACTTCTTCTGACATCTAAGTGAAAAAACTGCCACTTATCAAGAGTGAGTTAGCAATAGGAAGGCGACTCACACGTTCTACCAAGCTCTCAGTCGACATATCATATGGTCACTCTCATTGACATAAAACGTCAAATTT